TAACAATTGTTAACACATTCTGGGAACCCCTACAACCCTGCACGATGGCCAAACCGAATGACTGCCCCGCCTGGATGCCCAGGAACACTGTTCTTACAGCGTGAGGGGGAAATGGAGGGGGGCTGGTGGACAGACCGTCCCAGAGTGGCCCTGTCTCTGCTGCCCCGAGCGGGTCCAGTTCCACTCGCAACTCACCTGCATCCGGGGCACACCTCCTGAGCGCCAGGCAGTGTGTGGGGGGAGGAAAAGTGAGAGAGGGCCCAGAGAGCACAAGGGCAGCCATGGGAAGGGTGGCAGGGGGGCGCCCTCCAGGTGGGAAGGACCCGGGAGCCTTCCTGGAGGCGGCGGCACAGCAAACTGACTCCTTATTTATGGACATGTTTGTACTGACTCTGTGCTGTGCACTGCGTGTCTGAGGGCCCCGGGACACCACAATCAATGACAAAGCCAGAGTCCTCACCTGTGAGAACTCCCCGATCACCTGTGACCGAGATGAACAAAGGCACAAAAGTCTTTTACCACCTGATGGCAGAGATGATGAATGCCATTAAATTTTTTTAAAAAATCAGGTGAAAATGTCAGGTCAAGACGCCAGAGAAACTGCCGAGGCAGGTACACGGGCAGCCTCGAGTTTCCCGCCGGAAGAGCGTCCCTCCATTGTGACTTAACAACTGGTCTTCGGCCAAAGAGCAAGAGATGAGCTCCGTCGTGTAGGCAACAACTGGATTTTCCGTTTTTTCCTAACACGGAATCTACTTCTTTCCCCAGAAACCACAACCCACGGGGGCAGAGAGTAAACGAGGGACAAACATAAACAAGATCCCCTAAGCAGTCGGCAGACAAGGGCTCCGTGAGGGGACCTGCCAGCTGACGCCACAGTGGGGTCAGATGCAGTGACTCACCGCCCCTCTGTTAACTGAAGAAAAAGGGGGAAAACCTGGGACGGTCACGAAAATGGCAAGATGACGAAGGACTCCCGGCAAAGCCACTGTCCTGGCACCTCTTTTCCCCTAAGCCACATGCCGTAAACAAACAAAATCTTCTCTGGAATTTGCCCCTTCTTTCCTCGTCTGGATGACGGACCCCTTCCACGGGGTCCCCCTCACCCAGGCTCGAAACTGCAGAGCTGGTCTGGCTCTGCCACTGCAGGGCGACCCCCGGGGGGCAAAAACGCAGGCGGTGTCGTGAATCCAGTTAACGTGCCTGGAGTCGGCCCCCTGAGACCCTCTGCCCTCACCCCTGTTTTCCTGAGGACCAAATGCCGGCCCAAAGAACTCAGCTGAGAGCCACTTCCGAAAACCGCACTTGGGCCGTGGAGGGGGCGGCGGGGGAAAGAGGGGGCAGGGCAGGGGGTGAGCCGGGCAGACCCTCACTGCACACTCACTGTGCTTTAAAAGCTGCCGTGTGGGTCCCACTCAATACATTACGATGGCGATTTCACTGGTTTGGGGCACGGCCTGGGCGTCCGGACTTCCAAAAACGTCCCTTCTCTCCTGTATACAGAGGCTAGGCTTACTAACCTCACACCCCCCAAAGGTCGCCCTGTGGAAGAACGTTCTGTGAGGCCCCAAGGGTCAGAACTGAGGCCAGGTGTGGCCTCAGCATGGATGCTCTGGGGAGCGAGGAGGTACCTGGTCCGCGGGTGCGGGGAGCACGGAACCTCGCACCCTGCCCCCGGGGGCAGAGTCAGAGGGCTGGGACGCAGATGCAGCGGTGAACAGCGTACTGGGGACGCGATGCTCTAACCAACTGCGCTCTCTGGCTGGGGATCTCTCTCTCTCTCTCTCTTTTTAAACCCCCTCAAGGTCAAGGCCCTTTGAGGGCGAGGAGTAGAGGAAAGGGCTTCAAGGCTGGGCCCGGCGCTGTCCTGTGCGTGTGCCCCCTGGGGGCCTGCTAACCAGCGCGCTCTTCACTGGGATCATCACCTGCAATCCAGCCAGGGGGCGTCTCCACAAGACCCCTCGGGGCTGGGCAGAGCGGGCCGCCCCTCCACGCCAGGATGGCCACACGTGACCGACGACGACGGTCATGCGTCTTCGGGGATTCGAGAACATCGCGTTGACTCGTTCCCGTGTTTCCCCCAAATGTTTGACAAAACCCTTAATCGGGAAACTGGCTGGAAAACAGACGTCAGGGACGAGCAAGGCGCCCCAGCTGCAGTCACCTCTGTCCTTCCCTGAAAGTTTCTGGAGGTCGGACTCCCTGTCCCCGGGGACGCTGCCACCCAGGGAGCTTCCTGTGAGCCGGGGGTGGTCTCCAGGCTGCTCTGCAGACCCCAGGGAGCCGAGCCCACCTTTAGGGGAGTGCGGCCCCCGTCTGCCTCACACCCGCTGGGGTGCAACTGTCCTGAACTCATTTTAGTGCAGGACTGTGGCAGGCTTTGGAGGACAAGGTGACCGGGACGCCGTCAGGGCTCGGACGGCACCACCCGTGAGAAGTGCCCACGCCATTTCCACGTGCACTGGGGAGTGGGAACACCTCGCCCAGGCGGGGGCCAGAGGAGCTGCCCGGAGGGGTCGTTAGTCAAGGGAGGGGGGCCCGAGACAGCGCAGGCAACAATGGGAATGGATTTTAAACTCGGGTGTGGACAGGCGGAGGGGCAGTGGGAGGCAGGAAGCCACCCCCCAGGGGTGTGAAGTACATCCCTCCGCCCGGCCTCCGTCCCCTGCATGGTCAGAGTGTGGGTATCTAGCCCTCTCACACAGGAAAGCACTGGAGGCGGCTCAGTCGGTTGGAGCATCATCCTAATACACTAAGGTTGCAGGTTCAATCCCCAGCACATACAAGAAGCAACCAGTGAATGCCTGTAAACGAGTGGAACAACGAATCAATGTTCCTCTCTCTCTCTCTCTCTCTCAGTGACAATTAAAAATGAAAACAAGACCTGGAGCAGAGAACACGCCAGAGGCTCCGGTACAAGGCTCCTGACCCCCAGGGCCTGCCTGCTCCCACGCCCGTGACGAGGATGCAGAGACCAACCACTGTGACGGAGCCGGGTTCTGACCGGCCTGGCCTGTCCGACTCAGAGAGACTCTGGTCCCCTGTGTGGGCGTGGTGGCCGGAGAGTGGCAACAGCCCCCAAGGGTGTCTGCCTGCCATTCCCTGGAACCTGTGAATCTGTTACCTCAGGTGGCCAGAGCCACTGTGCAGGTGGGATCCGGTTCGGGACCTCGAGGTGGGAGATTATCCTGGATTAGCTCAGTGGGCCTGCTGGGGTCCCCCGTCCTGTGGAAGGGAGGGAGGAGATCGGAGTTAGCAGCAGCGGTGGCATCAGAGGGGACCCGAGGAAGGACTCAGGAGCCGAGGTTGGGGGGGGGGCGGCCTCCGGAAGCTGAAAAGGCCAGGAGTGGATTCTGCCCCCACCCGGGGAACCCCTGAAGGGACCAGTATGCTGACACCTTGATCTTAGTCCCGGGAAATGGGCTTTAGGCTCCTGACCTTCGGGGCTGCGGGAGGATGAATGAGCAGTGTCTTTAGTCACTGCGTCCGCAATGGCCCCAGGAAATGCCTGCACGTTACACACATTTTCCGCCACAGCACTACAGGCTCAGCACATCTGGGAATAACGGACTGAGGAAGTGGCCGGTGGAGCCGATGACCAGTTCGTTCTTTTGGCTAAACATCCTCAGTGACAGCAAGCACGCTGCCCTTTCTGAGTAAGTTCAGCGAGTATGTTTGGGGGCAACCCACACCGGGCAGCGTGACAGCTAAAATGTGATGAAACGTGTGTTTTCCCGCAGGCAGCTCCCTTCCAGAGCACAAGGGAGCCCACGAATCTCTCAGGAACAAAAGCGCAAAATGCTCGTCCTCAGAGGCTCCTGACACACTGGACGGCAAGGAGGGGAGCCTTAGTCCTTGTGCTGTCACCTGCACTGTCACCTGTGTGTGGAGTGGCAGAGGACTGACTGGAGGAAACTGGTCTGGGTTTGGGCTGCTAGAGAGCAGGGCTGGGCGGCCCGGGGGGAGGCACCCACTGGACGGCGCCCCACACACACCGTGTGCAGGGAGAGACAGGCCACCGCAGGGCTCCGTACTGTCCGCACCTGCTGGGCCCGGGGACGCATCCCCTGCGGATGAGGGTGGATGACAGCCTCGCAGGCAGCACACGCACCTCCTCTTACCTGTCTCCTCCTGCTGGCTCAGGCGGCTCTCTCGGACTTCTGAGCTGGGGACCGCCGAGTCGCGGGGCTTGTCCACCTCCAAACCCTCTCCAGAGCAGCTGGCCCGGGTCCACCGGGAAAGGAAGCCCCCTACTGCCCCACACCCTCAGTCATGGCTGCGTCACCGGATCTAGTACCTCCAAGTGACACTCATCTCCTGTTTTGTCGCTGGTGAGGTCGGCCTCTTCTGACACAGCCCGTGCCACCTGCGTCCCCAGGAGTCCACCGCCCAACCCCTCGGTCACCTCCCCAAGGAGCCACATTCTACCGAGTCTCACGGCTGCACCACACACTCCGACCACCCCCGGAGCCCCCCCCGCCTTGGTGGGGGTCTAACTCGCAAACACTTCCTTCCCCTTTACTGGTCGACTTTTCTGTTTTGTCTTTAAGCCGGATTGTTTTCCAGTGAGTCGAGCACACCAGGATTTTATTTCACAATTTGTGCTCTTTAAAGCGTCTCGTTTGAGAAATCCTTCCCTGACTTGATGTCACGAGTCTGTTTTCCTAGGTTTTTTTTTTTTCTTTCCCGAACGTGTTTTTATGGACAGACCGCGGCTTCCATCACAGGGAAGTGTTTTTATGGTGTGTTCTGCATGTGGCATCCTTTCTCTCCCTCTGTGCCCCCCCCCCCACCAGCCACAACCCCCGTCTGAGTGTGCATGCTGTCCGGGTCCCTGCCGTCGCTGGCCCCAGGCACCATGAGGTTGGGCACTGAGCCCCCGTGACGCTCCCCGCTGCCTGCTGGCCCGAGCCCCCCGCTCTTCTCCGAGACCTACCCCACACCCCAAGGGTGCGGCCCACAGACCGCCCGGGGACAAAGTGGGCCTGGGCTGGGCACTGTTCAGAACAAAGTTGTTTTTACTGCAACGAAATTGTTAAAAGGCCGTTACATGAGTTCCACAGACACACGACTGACGCGATAACCGTTAGTCATCGAGAACACTCAGGGGGCACAGACGGGGGTTGGTCCGCGGCACAGTTCACGTCCAGGAGGAGGAAGGCGAGCGGAGTGACGGTCGGGCGCTCACACCACCCACGGGCGCTCGTCCTGGGCGTCCTCACCTCTGACGGGAAGGGAGGCTCGTCCTGCTCTGGCCGCCTACGTGGTCGGCGGGCACCCCACGAGCCCGGGCCGGGGGCTCGGCCACAAAACCAGCTCTGGCCGCCGGCCCCGGCCCACGGGAAAGGGGCCTGCACCACGGCGGGGCCTCTTCATGCTGCCTCAGGTCCCGGGCAGTGGGGGAAGTGGGGACAGCAGGGTGGCCCCTTTGGACAGGAGACAAGGGTTTGGTGAGGGGAGCAGGCCCAGCGCCCCACTGAGCAAACCCATGTGCGCTGGTCCGACGGAGCTCATTTCTATGGTGGCGTGTGGCTGCCTAGTGCTGTGAGGGACCTGGCCTGGCCTCTCGGTGAGCGGGCTGGCGGGTGAGAGCCCACGGCTACGTCCCGGCTCCAGCGCCAACACACATGAGCCCATCGCTCGTTCTCTCGGGCATCGAGCAGGAGCCCCGATAGCACCCCCGGGTGCTGACCCGGGGGACGCACGGCCTCTCTGTGGGCACCAATCAAGGCACCGGGCTCTCCGTCACCCACCAATCCTCGCCTCCCGGGACCGAGAACGGAGATGGTCTGCACCCCGTTGGGTTGAGTTGAAGCTAGAGGAGGGTACTCGCGGTCCCAGGGAGCAAGATCTTGCCCGCGTCCGCCCCCAGCCATTCACTGCCCGGTGGACACGGGGACGGCCAGTGGGTCAACCTCACACGTCACCTCGGAAACCCCCTAAAGTTCCTTCCAAAAAAAAAACAACCAGAAAGACAAACACACACAAAACTCCTGACACTTCCCGACTCACAGGCTAAAGGCCACAGTCTGTTTTCGTTTTACCGAGAAATCACTCTCTGATGCAAAAGCTGTTTTTGTGCCCTTTTTGTGGAAATGATTATGCCTGTCTCCTGGGCCGGTGGTGGGGCACGAGGCGGGGGTTGCCCAGCTGGGCCCCCAGGGAAGCCCCTCGGGTCTGGGGTGTTAAGGGGAGCAGAGTTCCTGCCTCCCACCACTTCCCCCGAAGCCAAGGCCCCTGAGCCCGTTCACAGAGGGCCACAGCCGCTCTGGAGGCTGAACTCGGCGGGAGTCTGGAGTCTGGGAACCGGGGTCACAGGAAGCAGCTGCCGACTGTGGGCGCCCCGCCCGGCATGCTGGACGGTGCAGACGGGGCTCCCCAAGTGAGCCGGGCCCCCGGGGGCAGCCCACAGGGCTGACGCGGGGCTCACCCGTAAACTGTCTCCACTGTCACTGAGCAGAACGGGCCGTCTCGAGGCTGGTCCTGGGAAGCCACCTGGTGGCACAGGACAGGCAGCCGGGGCGCCCCCCTCCCATTCCCAGGGCTGCACAAGGGCCCTGGGACCCCCTTCGGGCTCTGGGCTGCATGAGGCCAACCCTCACCAAGGGAGCGCAGAGCAGAACCCGCGGCCGGCGGCCGGCACCCAGCCTGTGGGCCACGCACGGGGAGGGACTGCACATCACTCGGGACACTTGCTCTGTCCCCACAGAGCAGACGCGGGCACAGCACAGCCATCGGGACAGGGACTCACGTCACACTGCACAAGGTACACGTCCACAGCACGAGACACACGGGCTTGGGGAGCTGGGGGTGGAGGAGCCTCGGCCACCTGTGTCCCCCAGCCGGGCTCCTGTCCAGCTCACAGGACACAGGCTGTGCCTCCCGCTCGCCTCCGCTGCGGGCGCCCCAGGCCCACCCACCCACAGAAGACAGAGGCAAGAAGAAACCAGGGCCTGGCTTGCCGGGCGGGCCTGGGCCGGGGGTGCTTGGGGACTCTGGGACGTAACCAAACTCTCTGTCAGTGACACTTGTCTGTGACGAGATTACGCACAACTGAGTTTGACGGGCCCAGTGGCCATACCTCCCGAAGACACACAGATTCAACGCAATAAATACAACTGACCCCCAGTGTCCCGCGAGGATCCGGTCGGCGGCCGAGCGGGTTAGAGCCGAGCAATGCTGTGCCTGGGGGCCCTCTGGGGGGAAGGGCGCCTTCTGCTGGGGGGCTTCTGCGGCACAGCAAGCGCAGAGAGGGGTGGCCCCGCTCACGGGGGCGTCCCCGTCACAGCCTGGGAGCACTGTGCAGCGGAGACCTCGCCCTGTCCTTGGCTACTCAGAAAACGGCGGGAACATGCCCAGGTCGGCGAAGTCCTCGATGTTGTAGTTGCCTGTCCCCTGGGTCGGGTCTCCGGGCATGGGCAGCATGTCCTGCAGGGGGAGGACAGGGAGCGGCAGGGCAGTCGGGCGCCTGCACATCCCACTGGGCCTCACGGCGACGTGTCTAGTTAGGGGGCTGCCCGGGAGCAGCCCCAGCCCCTCGGGGACGCTCTGCAGGGGTCTTCCAATGTCCGAGACCCGGGGAGTGGCTCCCTCCCAGGTGCTCCACTCCCACAGGGAAGTACGGCCGCACGCAGGACACAACCGCGCCTGCGTAAGGCCAAGCCAGGGCCCAGGGCGCACAAGGGCCCCTGGGCGGCGGGGAGAGCCCAGTGCACTGAGACAGCACGCCCAGTCAGCCATGGAAATGCAGGGGGAACACAGAGCAGAGGGGGCGCAGGGGACCTCTGTAGCATTCTGCGTCCTCAGAGGGCACTGCCAAAGCCCAGCACCCCTGGACTTCCCGTTCGACAAGTCCCTCCAGCTCTCAGGCCTGAAACCGCCCACCCAGGGCTCGGGAGTGGCTATGCGTCCATTGCTCATGGCGACCTCCCTGAAGCGCGTTCTGCTGACTTCTCAGGCCACGAGACACGCCGGGAAAAGGAACTCTGCGGCCAGGTGAGTCTGGGAGCCGAGGCACACTGCACCTCCCTGCCGACACCCTCGGTCCGCACCCGTGCACCCAGGGCTCTGATGAGGCCTGCAGCCCCGCCGCCCAGTGGCTGCTCAACCAGCGTCTCACACACTCGTGGGACCGAGAGTTCTGTCTGGCCTGGTGGCCGTGACGAGCCAGGGGAGGGGTGGGGACAGGACAGGCCATTACAGAGGGAGGAACGGGGTGAGTGCTAAAGGTCGGGGGGGAGCAGGCTGGGGCCGGGGTGTCCTTTGCCTGTTTACAAGGACTGTGCCCTTTGGAGACCCAGCACGACGTCTGGGTTCTGGACCTTTGCCTGGGAAGATGCTGCTTGGCCTGATAGGAGAGGGTGGGGCTACTGGACAGCTGGCCCTTGGGGATTACGATCCTAGAGGTCGCAAGGCCTCCCACCCTGTGACACCTGCCCCCCCCCACCTGCGTTGCAGGGCAGGCCTGGGGCTCCTGTGAGACTGGGTGGGAAGGACTGCGCACTTGGCCAGGGGCAGACAGGGGGCTCAGGCCCCCATTTGCAGCCTGGTCCCAGTGGGAAAACCCCACGGGGGCTGAGTCCTGGGCTGCAGCTGCCGGCCAGGCCCGGGGCCGGTGCACAGATGGGCCGGGAACATCGACGGAGACTGGAGGTGCCCTCCCTCGGGAAGACCCGCTCCCTCCACCCCTGGACCCTCTCATCAGGGCCACGCCTCTGGCCAGAGCCCAGTCACCGCCACGGCAAGGACCCCGGGGGAAAGGAAGCGGAGAGAAGGTGCGGGTACCTTCGAGAAGGCGGCGGCCGCTGCATTTACCTGGAACACTTCCGCCTGCCCGGGCTGGTGCGCGTGCTGCTCGCCGCTCTGCTGCCCGTGGTGCTGGCTCTGCCACTGCGACCAGACTTCCGAGGGCCGCCCGGGGAACTGCCCGCCGCTCTGTCCGCTCTCAGCTGAAAGACCCGAGGGGCGGGAGGCCAAATCACACGTGAGGCCGTAACCCCCAGGACCTCAGAATGTCACTCTGTTTGGCGCTAACTCCAAAGAGAGGTCATTAAGGAAAAACGGGGTGACTGGGGCGGGCTCTAGGTCAAGACAGCAGGCAGCCCTGGCCGGTGGCTCTGTTGGTTTCAGCATCCCTTCGCACACCGAAAGGTCGCAGGTTCGATTCCCAGTCAGGGCACACACGGAAGCTGGGGGTTTGATCCCTGGTCAGGGTGCACATGGAGGCAACGGATGACCGCTTCTCTCTCTCCCTGACTTCCCCACCCTCCCCAACCAACAAACGTAGGGGCAGGTGAGGACTAGGAAAAGGAAGAGGGGGACCTCAGGACGCAGACACACACGCATAGGGACAACCATGTGAGGACACAGGGAGAGAAGCCCACCCTGCCGACACCCTGGCCTCCAGCCTCTGGGGAAGCCTGCTGGCTGTTCCGTCACCCTGTCTGTGTGTCTCCATTATGGCCGCCCGGCCAGCGACCGCCCTCCCCTCGAGCTGCCTGTGTCTCTGCCTCCCTGTGCCCTCAGACGGGTCACGACACCTGTCCACGCAGCACCTTCCCGCCGATTTTCACCTGCTCTGCCCTGCGTCCTGGCCCGGCCCCCCGGGCACCCAGAGCTGTGGGCCAGTCCCTCCCGGGCATCGGCTCTCCCGACCGCCCTCGCTCTGGCACCGCTCGGCTGGCTCCCGGGACAGGGCACTGACTGGGGTCCCAACCGCCTCCTGCAGCCTCCTCGGGTGCCCCCTGGTTCTGATGTGTGTCCCTCCACCTTTGTGCACGCTGAACACGGAAGTCGCGGGCCCCACCTCTTCTCCGGGATGAGATGGGGGCAGAGACTTGCCAAGCTCGTGGTCTGCCCCCAGCCCACACAGGTGCAGCCGACTAGTAACAAGACGGCCGCTCCTCCATCCGCCTTCCTCGGTGAGAGCAGGGAGGGCCGGGGAGGTGAAGGCCAGAGGAAGGTCAGCCCCCTCTCTGGGGGCTTCCTGGAGAGTATTCATTACGGATACAAGATCGTAGAATAAAAACCCTTAAACTCCTGGGAAGGAAAACACTCTTCCTACACCCGAGCAAAAGAAAAATATCCATGGACCGGTGGCTTTAGAAACGGCACCAGCCAGTCCAGGGAGAAACAAAGGACCTTGTGCTTCTGACAGCCACCTGCGTGTGGCGCATCCCCCTTCTCCCCACGCTAACTCACCGGCCTGCTGCCCACCCCGTTCAGAAGAGGGAACAGGGCCACAGGGACCTGGGAAATCCCACCAGGGCCTTCGGGCCCCAGGGCCACAGCCGGACTCAGCTCTGTTGTCATGACGGGCACGGGCGACCCTGCTCACGAGGGACAGGTAATCGCCACCACGGAGCGTCCCTGAGGACCTCGCCCTGACGGACCTGCACCCGACACGGGGCCCCTCCTGCGTGGTGCGCCCACGGGCCTCTCCCTGGGAAAAGCCCCCGGGGCCACTCACACCCCTGTCTCGCCTCGTTCCCCCAAACGCCGGCTGCAAACCGTGAGCTGGGCTGGGGCCTCAGCGCACCCGGGACGCCCGCCAGACCGGGGGCCCGGAGAGGCCGTGGGACCGTCTGCTGCCCGCTGGGCCACCCGGGCGGCTTTCCAACCTGAAGGCCAGGAGCTCGTGGGCCCCCGGGGTGTGGAAGCAGTGGGATGACACTGTCCTTTGCTAATGTGCTTTCTCATCGGGGCTCAACGCTGTGATCTTGCCCTTGCCAACAACCACGTTTCCACCGGAGGTTCAGGTGGTTGGGAAGTCGTGTTGGGCTTAGCTCAGTGGTTCTCAACCCCAGGGGGACCTCTGCAATGTGCAGAGGGCCCTGCTTAACACCCAGCACAGACCCAGCGGCCCCACAACAAAGAAGTGTCTCCACCCACAGAGCCGAGGCTGAGCGGCCGGCGGCGGACCCCGGCACGTGCTGGGGAGGGGGCACCGAAGAACGAGTGCACGAGCCCCAGTCTGAGCTTCTACGGGCGGCTCCACAGAATAACACGGCAAGGACATCCAAACAGTGGACACGGGGACCCGCTACGAGTCGGCAGGATTAATGCAGGAGGATGGCTGAGTCCTATGGCGGGACGGATGGGGTCGGAAAATGCGGCACCCCAGGGCGCTGGGGGCTGAGGGGGCCAAACTCAGCTTGGGGGGGGAGGCGGCTGGCAACCAACCCCTCGCAGGAGCTGGGACCCTGTCCCGACAGGCAGCTGGGCTCCGCTGCCCGCTCCCCAGGAAGGGCCCTCTGCCCCCACCGGCAGACGTCTCCCGGTGTCACCTGGGAGCCTGGGACCGGCAGAGAGCATCTCTGCGGGCTCTCCCGGGGGACCCCAGCCCCGGCCCCCACCTACCGAACCCCGGAGTCCTGCTGGCCAGACCGGAGTAGGCGTTCCCGCTGGGCGAGGAGGTCGCGGGGCTGGACAGCGGGCTGTAGGAGGCGGGGTCGGCCGGGTAGCTGTGGCTCGTTCCGATCCCAAAGGGGGAGGACTGCGTCTTGCTGGACTGAGAGGGCATTTGCTACAATCAGGACGGAGTGAGCAGGTGGAACGCACCCCCTGCGTCCCCAGGTCCCCGCCCCGGGCCCCAGGGGGGTCACCGCCTCCCCCAGGTCTGGGAGTAGCAGGAGCGCCTGCTCTGGCCCCTCCTGGCCGGCTGGGCACAGGTACGGGCCCCAGAATTGCAGCATGTGGGGCCCACCCCCCAGGCCACAGTGACCTGGGTTCCCCAGCTTCCTGTTATGGGGCCTCGGCCCCGCAAATGCCAAGAACTCCCTTGGCTCCGGCTCTGGGGCACCCAGTCCCAGGCCGGGGCAGGGACTGAGCACTGCGCGTGCCCAGGGCAGTGCCCCCAGGGACGCCCGTACCTGCCCCGGGAAGGGGGGCCGACTGCCGGTCCACGCCACCTGGCTCTGGTTCAGCTGCCGGGAGATCTGGGGCAGGTTCTGGCCGGTGGAGGAGGACGACTGCATGTCGTTCACGCCGGGCACGTGCACCACGGAAGAGCTGGGGGGAAAGAGCGGGCACCTGTCCGGAGACGCCCCGCCCGGCACACACCTGCCGGGCCACCGCGGTCCTGCGCTCCACCTCTCCCCGCTCTCTCCGCCAACGATCCCCGGGACCAGAGACGCCTGTCACTGTGAACACCAGCCTCACGCCCACTCCTCGGTGCTCTGGCTGATCTGTTCCTTCCGCACACTTGTGGGGCGTAGGGATTCGGGAAACAGGCCGAGGGCTGTGGGCATGCTCGCTCTCGGGGGGAGAGACGGGCCTGTCCGTGGATGCTCCTGAGACCCACCCACGATGGAGTCCCGACTCCCCCGCGGGTCGGCCTGCTCCTCCCAGACTTGGAGCCTCCCCACCACCCCGTCTCCTGCACTTGGTGCTGCCTTCTGGTGGCCTCCCGTCCATGCTCCTGCTCCCCCTGGGCCCCGGGGCCAGGCTCTGCCCCCAGCGGTGCACGGGGGCTTCCTCGGGGACCTGCAGAGGCCCGGGAGGCCGAGAACCAGGCCGGGGGAGGCCAACACGCTGCCTGCGCCCGCGCGTCCCTCTAGACTGAGACCCCAGGCCTGACGGGCCGTGTCGTCCTCTCTTCCTTGGACGAGGCTGTGGCCTCTGGGAACCGGGGGACAGGGCGCGCCCGGCTCCTTGTCAGGAGTCAGCAGCTCTGCCCCACCCTGGTCCAGGCTGGAGGCCAGCTCGGTCCCTTCTCCCCGGCAGACCCCGAGCTACCAGCACCCTCAGGCGGGCCGGGGCCTGCGGGCAGCAACCACACACACACACACACACACAGCCCAGCGGGGGACCAGGGCGGCCCCTCTGCCCACTGCCCCAAGCCCCAGCACGTACCTGAAGGCCTTGCCTGAGTGTCCAGCAGGGAACGGGCTTCCTTGGGAGTAGATCTGCTGGGTTCCCGCGGACGAGGCTGAGCTCATCATCTTCTTCTCCGCTGGGGAGAGCAGAGCAAGGGTCACCCACGTGCCGGGGTCCCCTGCCCCACAGACCACGGGCGGCTCCCCTGGGGGCCTCCCTTCCCTGCACCCGGGCCAGGACGCACGCCACCGGGAGGCAGGCCCCTCGGAGGGTCGGGAACCAACGAAGTTCTTCCTCAGACGCTATTTTACCGGATCCGTCCACCCCTGAGGAAAGGGAGCTTCCATGTGCGGGAGGACGGGCGCCAGGTCCTGGGCTGGAGCCCCGCTCCCCAGGGGCACCCTGCGGATGCACACAGCACATCTTTTACGTCACCACTGTTTGCATCTCGCTCTCTCTGCTCGGCTTCTCTCTAACCCGGAGTCCTTGAACGTCACCTCATCTCCCCCCTCGCGGGGGTCCTAGTTTCTTCTGAGCACCTTGCAATTGACCAACAATTTCCTTGTTTTTTCTTGGGAGTGAGACTACTTTCCCTCCTTCTTTCCTTTTCCCCCCCCATTAATGGTTATGTTTAAACACACTGGAAGCAATATTTCTCTACCAAAAAAAAATGTTGGTTTAAGGCCCTGAGTCCAAACCAGGCCTGGATGCTTTCTGGACGGATTCCATTCTGGTTGTCATTTTTGCCTTCTGACAGGTGTTACATTAATTCCAGGTGTGTGCAGCTTCGTTTGTTACCCCTACGGCTTCTGCAGCCTATCAGCTCCGCTCTTGGGCGCCGCAGCTGACGCCCTGTGGGTCTCGCAACGCGGGTCACGTTGTTATCTGTGGTCGGGGGGCGCCCGGGGGTGTCTTTCTGTGGTGCCCAAGGAGGAAGGCAGCCTGGCTGCTGGGAGATGTTTGGATCACACATTTCCGTCCCCTTCCTTTTTCTGTCTGTGGGTCACCCCCTATTCTGTCGCCTTCATGGGACGGCATCTGTACACTCGTGTGTTCTTCTGCACCAGCACAGACGGATTCCCAGAGGCTGTGAGTGCCTCAGAAACTCCCGCTTCCCCTCTTGCTTGGTTAGTCTCGGCAAGTCGGAGGGCACACCGATGCGGGCGCTGTGCCTGTATGGTCGGGGGAACCAGCGGCAGGAGTCTCCCCGTCATGGTGACAGGCCTGCTGGCGGCTGAACGACGTGTGGCGTTGGCGCCCCCCCCCCAGCCTTTCGTGGGCTGCAGCCGGGCGCCTTCCTCGATGTCTCCCAGCTGGGTCCCCAGATGCACAGTCCTGACACCGCAGCCGTCACCGCGCACACCGGCGCAGGGACTGAGACCTGTTCTCTTCCAGCTGCCGGGGCCCCTCTGCCCCCTTGGCCCACGCTGTCCCCAGCACGATGGCCCTCACAGGACCTGAGGGGGGTTCCTTTCCAACTGTGGTGCTTCCCTTGGGGTGTCAGCCGCTCTCTCCAGCTTCAGCTGACCTTGGTGGCACCACATCTGCCAGAAATGCCTCGACCAACGTGGACATGGAATCTTCCTTCTGAGTTTTGGAAGCGATGAGGACATTTCCACGTTTCACATGCTGCTGCTCCCAGTGGTAATCGGAGTGGGGGCGGGCCACACAGGAGGGTTCCCCGGGGCACCCTCCCCGAGAACTGGGCCGCTGCCTCTGCTGCGGTGTCACGTGGGGAGGCAGCCTGGGGACCCCCAAGTGTCCAGAGCGAGCAGTGGGAGTCAACGCAAGAGAGAAAAATGGTTTAGATCATTGAACGATCTGGAAATAAGCTCACAATAAACCGTCGCGTGAAAAAAAGCAAGCGGACAAATGGTGGGAGCTCAGTATTGTACGTAAAATGCATTCACGTACATAAAATAGAAAAGACATACTTTTAAAAATGATTACATCCAGGTGCTGGGACAATGGATCATTTTTGTCTTTTAATGCATAATTTTACTTTCAAACGTGGTCTTCATGTTATAGATTGAGTTATTGGGGGGAGGATTGTTCGTTTTTTAAGAGGACGGTGCCTTCAGTTACAAAAACTGAAGTGCCCCGTGGATCAACAGTGCTTGTTTCTTCCAACATTTCCAGTTTTGAAGACGAGGTGCCAGAGGCCCCAGGGCACAGGTAAGGAAGCGGCGGGGCCAGAGGTGGACAGGGCTCGCCCGAAGGCTGCCCTTGCACCCGTGGCCATGTCCCCCCCGGGGGGGGGGCCGTCTCTCTCCGGCCGCAGGGCAGCTGGAAACCCGCACGCACAGCCCCGGCACCGTCCGGCCACTTACACGCTCCGATCCCTGCGAACATCTCGGCGAAGCGGGGGTCCCTCTCCTGAGAGAAGATGGCATCCGCCTTCTCCACGGGCTTCCCGGCCTCGTGAACACCGGCTGGCAGGCTGGGGACGGGGACCTGTGTGCACAGGGAGACAGGACAGCACCCGGTGTGAGAGGTGCCGACTGGCCATCCGCTGGAAGCAGCCCCCGTGGCCCTGCCTGCTGACCGGAGTGCATTTCTCCGTGTGAAAGCCAAGGACAGACAGACGCGGCAGGGTGTGAACAGGGGGGTGCGGAAAGCACAACACCCACACGACGGCTCGGAGACATGAAGACGGCGAACATCCTCTCTGTGTTGGGGACGAGGGACACGAAGCTTCGTTCGGGGGAGAGGGAAACCAAAGGCCCACACCTGGCAGTTCCTCCGTGTGGGGCCCGAGGCAGTGGGAAGAGGAAGAGGGTGGGAGGCAGGGAGGGGGCCGGGGAGGCGGGAGGAGGAAGGCGATGGGGCAGGCGAAGAGCGGGGAGGAAACTGACAAGGTTCCGAACTGCAGCAGCAGGGCTCCAGGCGTCAGCACGAGGGCGGGCACAGAGCCGGGCGTCCCCCGGGGCCTCGGACACTCCCGGCCCCGACTGCGGCTCAGACAGTTCCTGCCCTGGCGCACGCCCTTTCGCGGCTAAGTTCTGCATGGAAGAGCAACGGGACCCCCGGGGTCGCCAGGGCCCCCAAATCTCCGCACCGCATAGGCAGACAGAATGACAGATAGCACCTGCTCGCCTGGGGGGCTGGAGCGAGGGCTGGAGTCAGCCCCCAGGCCCCCAGGGTGCAGACAGGTGCGGAGGCTCACCTGTGCTAGGTCGTACGAGGACAGCCCGTCCCTCTGGTGCACCTCCAGCTCCGCCTGCTGCTGCTGGAGCTGCCTGGGGAGTGAGAAGCCAGCGGTCAGTCACCAGAGGGGGCTGACCCAGAACCCGCCCTGCCCCCAGGCACCTCAGGGGTCACCCCCACCCCCCGGCTCTCTAGGTTGTTTCCAATTTCTGCTTATTTATTTCTTCTTCATTAAAATGCTCCAGATAAAGACAGCCAGTTCTGAATTGTAAGTGTAAGCTGCTGATACATAGGAAACAAGTTTCGACTTATGACTTCATTTTATGCACGGTAGAAAGATATTTTTAAAAAAGAAACAAAAATGTTCAGGCAAAATTCAGAAAGGTGGTCGTTTGTTTTTGAAACGCATTTTTTATTGCATTTTTTCCGTTACTGTGTATGAAAAGCTGTTAGGTTTAACACTGAGGGAAGGTTTAGCTATAAACGTGTTTTCAGGAGCTCACCCGTGCCCCACACTGCACCACCCCACGGCGGCAACCCTCCCTCAATCGCTGAGAAGGGAAGGGCAGCACAGGCTGCGGCCGCCAGGGCGGGAGGCTGCTCGCACCTTTTTGAGCCCCTGCAGCAGACAAAGCCCCTTCCACGGGGAGCAGAAAACAGATCTTGAGCTCGGCTGCAAACCCCGTGTCCGGGCACCCGCATCTCTGTCCCACAGCCCTGGGCTCCAGCAGCCGCCCAGGCCTGGGAAGAGGCATGAGTAGGTGTCTCGGACACTTCAATGGAGTACAAATAAACCTTGGTGCGTGTGCGAATTCCACAGGGGGGAAAATACTCTGCTCGAGAGAAAGCTGACCAACAGCACCCGCAGCCAGTCCCCACTGCAGCCAAGTGCAGCCCCCCACGAGCTGGGGGTGAGCACTGACCATCTGGCTTCCTGTCCGGGGGGCCTCTGAGCACCGGGGAGGTCAGCACACTAGGCTGAGGCTCGGAGGTTGTTGCCCGGCCTGAAGGAGGGCGCAGCGGCCGTGGGTGGCCGTGGGTTGGGCCTGCAGACACGGCGGGGCGACACCCCTGGGAGAAGGCAGGACCCGCCTGGAGGCGTCTGGGGCTCGGCCAGCTCGGAGGGGAGGAGTGAGGCTGGTGTCCCCACCTGACCGAGTGCTGCCCCAGTGTCCAAGAGACACCGAGACGTCGGCCCGGGCACTGAGGAGAAGCAGAGGAGGGCAGAGGGGCCAGCGGGAACCCCAGACGGAGCCTGGGGGGCTGGTTCCCGCCGGGTGGTCTGTTGCAGGGGGGTGAGAGGGCGGGACCAAGACACATCCCAGGTTGGGGCTTGGTGACCAGGAGTTTGGGCCCCCAGCTCTGCAGAGACCGCGGATGAACCTCCTTTCCACCTCTCGTGTACCCCCTGCTCTGGGCATCCTTCCAGCTACCGACCCGGCGGGCTGGGCAGTCGCCAAGGACAACGGACCGGCTCCCAGCAGGGCTGCGGGCACGTGAGCCGCAGGGAGACGTACACAGGTACCACTGGCGCCTTGGCCAGGGCGGCCCCCAAGGCTGCGGGCGCAGCGGGCCCCGGAGACAGGGCTCAGCCAAGTGGGAGCCGAGGGACAACCTCAGGTCAGTCTCCGCAGAGGTGCTGCCCACGCGGACGGCACCGCCCTCGGTGGGGCCGATGGAAAAAGGCTGAGACGCCCGCCTCCTGCCAGGAACAGCCCAGCACCTGTCCCCGTTTGAGTGCCGACCCCCAACAGCAGGACGTGGGCACACGTCACAGCCGCACGTCCGGTGCAGGAAGTGGGAGTCCGAGCTGCTTTCTGGCTTCGTCCGGCTCCGAGGTCCCACGGTGATAAAGAGGCCTCCTCTGGGGGCTTCCCACAGACGCCTGCCGTCACACACAGAACTTCTCAGGGAAGCTTCCTTCCCGTGACCCACGACCGAATGCAGCAGGGCTTGACCTTGTGCCCCCAGACGGTCCACAGCAGGGCTGCCCACTGCTGGCGAAGGTCAGCGAGGACCTGGAAAGGGCCGGGTGGGTTGCATCTGCGGCCGTCGCTGCCCTCTACTGGCCACAAGAAAACAACTCCCATCTCGCAGGGCGGATGGGTTTCAGAGCACGGTGCCTGCCGGCTGGCAACACCCCGAATGCTTCTGTCCTGCCAGGCACCGACATGGCTGTGGAAGCACAGACGTGGGAGGGAGTGAGGCAGATGGGTGAGCGGCAGGAAAGGGACTGGGTCGCAAAGGCAGGTGGCTCTCACTCAGAGCCGGTCAAAATGCTGGCATCAAACGGGGAAATCTCTACAACAGTGTCCGTGGCTCTGAACGCACAGTGATGGGCTTGTCCATTTCCGTGGGTCCAGCACGGGCAGCTGCAGTGGCCGGTGACAGGGCTGTGACGGGAGGCACACGTCTGGGGGAAACACCTCGGCCTGAACAGGTGCCTGACAAGTGGGTGGCGCCTCCTCTGCAGCCGGGTCCCTGGGCCCCGAGCCACGCCAGGCTCCACGGGTGAGTGGGCACCGAGGCCCTGGAGGGAGCGGCCTCGCCCTGCAAGGGGCCACGGCGAAGGAGGAGAGGAGGGGACTCAGACGGACACGCTCAGGGACAGGAGGAGGCCCACGCCCGGACCAGCCTCTCAGCCCGTCGGAGAGACCGCAGGGCCTGCCCAGAGAGAGGAGGGAGCGGAGCGGTGCGCTCTGGAGGCCGAAGGAGACCTGGGGCCGCGTGTACGGCACGACCGAGACACTGCCCAGCAGCCGGGGCAGGGGGCAATGTGGCTTCCTGCGGGCCACCCGCCTGAAGGATGTGAGAGCCAGGCTCTCTTCCCCCAGGTGCCAGGTGATGCATCGGGGCTGAGAGAGGAGAGGGGGCTTGTCCAGCAGGGACCCGGGACCGAAACCCAGGTCACCTGCCCTCGGAGGGACCTGGCATGGACCCGTCTGTCCAGGCTGTGCTCTGGGGCCAGGACCCAGGCCGAGGGGCCCGAGGCGAGCCCTGCCACCCTGGGGCTGGGGTACGGCAGCCAGGAAGCAGGGAGGCCACCTGCAGGCTGCGGTCACGGGGACACCGCCAGCAGAGGAAGAGGGGCTCGGGGTGGGTGGGGAGAACCAGTCTCGGTGCTGAATAGGGGGCAACGTTCGTGCCAGCGACAGGTGCGGGGGACAGGCCAGTCTGCAGGCCCCTGCAGCTGCCAGCACCCTGGGCACAGGTTCCAGTGCCCTGGGCACTTGGGCATCATTTTGACTTTGTGCTGCTTCTTGGGCCTGAACTTTCTCAAGAATAAAAGCAGGCAGCAGGCGTGACCTGCCCCTAGCCAGGAGCTGGGCCTCACTTCATCTTCCCAGCAGGTGGGACGCAGCACCCATCAACACCTGGGCAGCAGAGAGACCATGTGCCCCCCCCACCGAGGTGCCCAGGCCCGAGAGCCCGGCTCAGCGGGACCGAGAGCCCCAGCCTGGCACTCGGGGGCGGGGCGGCTGCGGGGAGGAAGCACGTACTTGACGTTGGTGTTGGTGCAGATGACGTACTCAATCTCGTCCGAGTACGGGTTCTGGAAGGTGAAGCTGCTGGTGCGGATCAGCAGCCACTCGCGGTTCTTGGTGCGGAACCGGTACATCACCGACAGCACCTGGCCCTTCAGCTTGACCACCTGCGGGAACAATGAAGATGGCCGTCAGCGGGGGCGAGGACCGGGCGTCGGGGGACCAGGGCAGCCGCCGCCATCAGCCTCCCCGCTGACACACGGCACCGCCGGCGGGTCCTCCTGCCCCGCTGCGTACAAAAACGGGTCAGCTCCTGTTTTGTATCTGGGCCTTCTTAGCTTTCACAGAGCAGGTCGGGAAAACCCTGGGGTGAGACACGGCCTCTTCATGGATCCAGAGCAGCTCCCCGGGGGGAGACGGGGTCTGGACGAGCGTGGAGGGGCAAGATGCTGCCGCGTGAGGCTGTACAGGAAGGGCCCTCCCGGTGGTGGCGGGGCAGGCGCAGCCGGAGCAAATGTTCAGAGGCAGGGAAGCCTGAGGTGGGACGGGGGCCAGGGGTCGCAGTCCAGGCCTCGAGACCAGGCTGGTGCTTGGGTCAGGGGCGACGCTGAGACCCGAGACCCCAAAGGTGGGACTGAGCCCGGCCTCACAGGCTCTCCTTGAAAACAGCTTCGTCTTCCTCACCGCGGCGACAGGAGACACGCAAGCCCAGAGGAAGGGATGGGGGGGAACCGCTGGAAGTCTCGCGGGGCCCCACTCTTCCGTCTGACTGCTGGGTGAACCGTGACCCCAAGAGGGACCCCGGGAGCGGACTCGGGTTTCTGGGCCCCGGGCGTGCCTGCCATTAACCACCGAAGTCAGATTCCACACGTGCTCGGTCTGGGCTGCTCAGTGTTTTTGTTTAAGTCCAGAGTTCAAGGGCCGACACAGCTCCCTCTGCGCGTTTGCAAAAATAAACCACTTCCCTTCGTCAACACTTGTCGCCCACCCGGCTGCCGATGGCTGCAGCCCAGGACGTCCCGCGGCTGCTCGGCCACTTCCCGCCGATCCGTGAGCGGCCGGGCCACGGCTCCTGGGGGTTTCTCCTTGGCTTTCCCCTCCCACTTGAGGGGTTGGTGGGGGCAGCTCACAAAGCAAGGGTTACTGAGGCTGGATGTGGGGCGGGATCAGATGTTAAATTCCCTCTGTTTCTTCTCAAAACCAGGTTCTGACCGCGTCACCTGTCTGTAAGATGGAGAGGCCTGTGGGGGGCGGGGGTGGCCAAGGGGATGGATGTTTTGGAAGGAGGCAAGCTCCAGCCTTCGCTCTGGTACCGCCTTGCTGTGTGACTCGGGGCAGGCGACTGAACCTCTCTGAGTGCTAGGGTCCACTGCGAAAAAGTGGGGGATGTGAACACACTGGGGCTGCATAGTTACTAACAGCAAAGGGCGCACACCTATCAGCGTTTCACGCCCACGCACACAGAAACACAAAGTCATCTGGCCCAGACAAGGGGACGCCCGAGGGTGCGGAGTTTACATGAGCACGTTCGGCCAAGACAGGGTGTGAGAGACATACTCTTGCAACGCCGAACCTTCCGGATTTCACAACATGGAGGTCAGCCACCACGGGTGCCGATCCACCCAGATGCTTTGCCAAGAACCACTGACCCACGGGCAACTCCACCCTCAGTGGGAGAGGGGAGGGGAGAGGGTGTACAGGGTGGGGAGCGGGTGGCCGGAGGCCCAGGGGCACCCACGCAGACGCAGCCAGGGCCCAGCAGGAGAGCCGGGCCATCGGAGTATTGGTCTAACACACAAGTAAAGCCGGGTGGGAAGGACCTGTTCTCTCAGATGAACAACAAGCTATTATTTCCTACAACAAGCTATTATTTCCTCTTAAAGTTCAATTCGCTGGCCCCTTTCTCGTAATGTCACCATCAGCGGCGGCGGCGGTACCTGCTGAAAGCTCTCTCGCAGGTGGCTCTGATCCTCCGAGTGGCAGAACTCCAGGATGTCCTTTCCCAGCAGATCCTGCGGAGAGAGAGGCGTCGGTGATCCCCAACCCTGTTTTCATAGTTTGCACACCAATGCGGTGTTCATTCCCCACCCCCCCAGGGGGAAAGCGGTCGGTGTAAACCGCCCCGGCGCAGCTGCGTCTCCAGGACGGGGGCTCTGGTCCTGCGTGTTGTTAGCCTGCCTCTTTGCTTTCTCTTCGTCTGGAACCACCTCTCCTGCCTTTTCGTGTTTCTCATGACACCCAGTTGGGTTTTTGTTTTGTTTTTTGGAGGGTGTGGAACAAGGACCTGAGGTTGTGCCCCGTGTGAAAGTGGATTCCAAATCTGCGTGAGGCACGGGCTTAGGCACGAGCACGTGGACTTCGGGAGGTTTCAGAGTTTATCCTCGTTCACGTGCTTTGCAGGACGTTCTACCTGGTGCTCATCTCAGGGGACCCTCCCACACAGAGCGCCTTCGCTCTAGTTTGTGAAAAGTCAGGAAGACAAGCGGCCGGGCAGGGAGCTAAGGGCGAACTTCCAGGGGAGCGGCTGCCCCCGCGGCCGCCCTGGCTTTGGACGGACGAGGCTGCGTCCCGGTGGGGGCGTGGGGTGTGCGCTGCGTGTCCCGCGCCGTGAGTGAGGGAGCTGCGTCTCCGACGAGGCGATGAGCGCGCCTGCCGTAAACGGCACCTTTACCGACGGCCTACCTGGGGCTGGTAGCCGATCACGCTGATGCACCTCGGGTCCACAAACGTGATGGTCCCGTCGGAGCTGTGGCGGGACAGGAACTCCGTGGGCGCCGACACCCCGCTCATGTCCATGCACACGGGAGAGCTGGTCACCTGCGGCGGGAAGCCCGCGGGGAGGAGGTTGGACCGAGACAGAGGGGGGACAGGCCAGGCGGATGGAGGTTCGCTGATCCTCCCATGTTCCAACAGCCCGGACCGCGCCTCAGGGAAACAGTGACGGGGGCCTCTTCCCCCCACCTCTGCGTCTCAGTTTCCTGACTGGTCAGTGGGGGTGACGCAGCCTGCAGTCTGACGGGCGGGCAGTGAGGCTCCGGAGAGACTGCCCGTCCAACGCCAGCATGCGGTCGGTGCTGAGAAACGTCCACACCCTTCCCCTCCCCCTTCGCTCCACCAGGGGAGGCAAAGGCGCCCAAGGAACTGGGGGAGATATTTAGAAAGACGACACGTGTGAACTGAAGTTACCCGGGGAGCCTTTCCTCACCCGTCTGCAAGCAATAACCACTGTTTATCATACGTGATCGAAACTGCTCATCCACCTGTCTGAAAACCGTGAGACCCGGGGAACCGGGGACGTGAACAGTGAGGGCCCTGTGCCCTGTGCCTCCACGGTGCCCTCGCCCGTAAGGGAGGGGGGCACAGGGACAGGGAAGAGCCCAGCGGACCAGCCGCAGTGTGAGCACCTGGCACGGAGCCAGCGCGCTTCTGCCGTGTCATTCAGCAATTTCGGTGTTTCCTTGAGGCTGAAAAGACGCATCCCCACCCTCGGGAGCTGGGGGAAGGGGCAGGCCCTCAGCCGACGGCGGGAAAACAGACGGCGGACAGGGAACCCTGTGCCGGGAGCCCGGTGGGGGGAACGTGGATCTCGACTGAACAGACGGAGGGGTCGCCTGGAACAGGGCCGGGCGGGGGCAGGCCCCGACTTTGCAGTGAGCGGCACACGTGTGTGCGTGTGTGCGTGTGGGGCGGACTGACCCAGGCCCCGGGGAGGGTGTGCAGCCCCACGCGGTCCCAGTTCCGGCCCCGGGAGACCCAGAGCCCGAACCCGGCCCTTGTGGAGACGGAACAGGCTGCGAGCGGCCTCTCACCTGCAGCCTCCCGATCGCCACGAGGCAGTACTTGCTGCCCTGCCCCACGTCTGTGTCCTCCTCGGGTATGGTCATGCCTGCAACGAGAGAGGCCGGCGTCAGGCGCGCTGAGCCCACGCGGGGCGGGCGGTGGCCCGGACTCTGCGCCGCGGTCGGAAGTGCGGACGGACGGACGTCTGGGCTCCCGGCCCACGGAGCCCGCCCCCGCACCGCGCTCTCTGCCTGACACCTGCGGATAATTCCGCGGAACGTCGCCATCCGCACTGGTGGGTGACGCAGAGACATGCTAGGAAGATGAAGTGCAAATTCCTCGTCCACGCGTTTGCCAACTGTGGCCGAGACGTTTCCTTATAAAAGGAATGTCGGGGAGAGCGGCCGGCGGGGGGTGGGGGTTCAGGTTGCGGAGCTGTTTCCCTCGCCTGCTGACCCAGAATCCGACAGAGGCCGTGAGAATCGCTGCGCCGTCACCGGCTGGGTCTTGGGGGGAGGACGCGGGTGCGCAGGACACTTTTTAGTTCATAACGTTAGGAAACAATTAGTGGGTTAATTTTACTTTATTTTTCGAGATTGTATAGCTCTGCTAAATTTCTTTAATGAAGATGGACTGTGTAGTAGTAGTAGTGATAATAATAATAAAGACCATCTTTAGAAGGGTGGCACAGGGTGCTTTGGCACTTACAAAAGGTGGGCTTCTCCCCACACCCAGGAATCCCCTCTGGCTGCCTCTCCTCTTCCAACAAATCGGCCACCGGAGGAACTCGGCGCGACCCCTCTAAACCCAGAGAACACGCACCCGGTGGTGGGGAAGTTTAATCTAGAACCTTCGGCAGAGGTGCAACCTGTCTTTCCACATAAATGGCTGTGAAATCACGAAAATTAACGGGTGTCTCCTCCGGCCTGAGGTCGTAAGTGAGCACCTGCTTTATCAACTTGGACTTGGGAGATGGACTTTTGTTGCCCATAAATCTTCAGCTGCAAACAGAGCCAGTGGGTGGGGGAGGGGACAGGGGGCTGCAACAGTAAAGCCGCCCAGAGGGGCAGGACAGCGCCCCCTCCAGGCCTCATGCCGCCCCCGGGGACAGAGGAGGGGGCCGCTGGGGGACTGAGTCCCGGTGACCGTCCCCGGACAGGGCAGTGTCTCCGTGGAAAGCCAGGGGCGGTCGTCCAAGGAAACCACTGAGCGCCAACCTCTGGTGCCCCCCGCCCCTCAGCTGCGGGATGGCACTGCGGTCTGCCGCGTTCAGTGACAAGTTCAGAGGTACCATGACAATGGCATCCTCCCCTGGGCTGGCCTCCCCCTGGTTTCCGGCTTCTGGGAGCCGAATCCCGCCCTGGGCCGAGGGGACACCCAGAAGGCAGGGCTGTGTCCGGCGTCCACCTGTCACCCGTTTCAGAGCCGTGAACTCCACCGGGGATCCTAGTGGGCTCTGCCTGCTGGGCAGCCATCCAGGGAGGAAGGGACACAGGACACAAAGAGGCAGTGTGTCCACAGAAGTAATGTCCTGCCCCTGGTCAGCGGAGCGCTGCAGCCTGTGTGTGCCGCCGGCACCCCGGCCAGGATGGGGAGGCACGGACAGCTGCCCGCGGCCTCGCCTCGGAGCAAAGAGGGAGCGAGTTTTCCTGAGCACTGGGCGGAGCGCGGCGGGTCACCTCTGATGCAGGAAGGCACCGCGTTCTGTACGTTTGACACAGTGGTGACAGGGTTTCTCTGGCTGCAGGAAGGAGAGCTGCACAGGGGAATGTCGCCGTGTCCGGAAGCAACACTGGGGACAGAGTGGCTGGACGATGGGGAAAGCCTCCGGCTCTGGAGGGACCAGAGGAGCCCTGACCCGGTAGACCTGAGTCTGCAGTCAATGGACCACAAAGCCTTCGGCCTCCGGAGCTCCAGGCGGCGTGAGAGAGAGCAGCTATGGGCCAGGCCACGGGGAGACCCACCGTCCCCACCCCACAGAGCTGCCTGGGGCGGGGACAGTGTCTACTGAGCCTCCAGCACAGGCAGGCACATGGGGCTCAGGCAGTGCAGCCCAGGGCAGGGGGACGTGCTGGGGTCAGCGACAGGCGGCGCCATGGGGGGGCTTTGGGCTGCCCTCTGCGAGGAGGAGGGGCCGGCCGGCGGCAGCGCTCAGCGCTGTCTCCAGCTCTGACACCCGAGGGTCCGTCCAAACGCCGGGTCAGACTTCAGCCATGAGATCAGCCGCGTGGGACAGTTCCTGAGCCTCCACGCAGCGCCTGGCTGTCCGCTCCGGGTCAGGGACGCGCTCCTCCTGGTGGGAGTTCACGGCTGGTGGCGGAAGGACCATCCCGATGCTGTATGGTCAGCGTTAGGGCCGGGAGGGGCGCGGGGCCAGGGCCGGGCGCCAGAGTCCAGAGGACCGGGCTGGGAGGGGACGCTTCCTGGCAGCGGCAGTGGTGGGTAGCAAAGTGGTTTTTAATAGGAACAGGATCATTCCGGCCATGTTAGCAGATCTCAGCAATTCCCCGACCGGGTTCACAGGCCCACTGTGCCCTTCATTAGGTCACCTCCACTTCGGAGGCGCCCCGCCCCCGGCCGGGTGGGAATAAGCCTGAGTCCCAGAGGAGACACTCCAGGCAACTGTAAGGAGAAAGTGCTGTTCGGGGGCACATTCGGCCCCATCCCGCAGTCCCCCTCCACTCCTCGCCGGCTCGAGTGGAAAGCTGGACGGCTGTCCAGCCCCACTGGGCGGGGTCAGTCCCGGGGCCCATACCCTTGTACGGGAATGGAGACACATTTTTCTGCACTCTGCCAAATGCAGGCAGAGAAAAAAACCCACCACTTTCCTGCTGTGAGCAATTCAGGCCGCTCACTCATGGACCACTTCCAACGTCCTCCCTGAGGGGTAGTAATCAGTTTAAGACAAAAAAAAAAAGCTTCTTTGGCCAAACACATTTGGGAAGTGTACTGTAAACAAAAAAATAAAGAGATTTCATCAGCATGGGCCTCTGCAGAGAACTGAACTTTCGACTTGGGGCAGGATTCGGTGAGAATCCAGACGGCAGGGTTCCCCCAAAGGTGCTTTGGCTCCAAAGGGCCAGCGGAGACCCCCTGAGGAAGTACCTGTCCCCACAGGTCACTGTGGCCACGACAGCCTCGAACGAGAGAAGTACAGGCAGGTCTGCAGACCAGGGTGGCTGCCAGCCACCAGCAGGGTTTGGCCGTGGGGCTCAGGACAAGTGGCTACACCAGCTCGCCCTGCGTTGGAAGGAAATGGCCCCTGGGGGAGGGTGTGGCAGTGTCCCCAGCAGGGCCGACCGTGGCTTGAGATCAGCGCCGAGTGAGGGCGACTCACCGAGCCAGCACCCCTCGATCTCTCGCCCCCCGAGGAAGGTCTGTGGCGGACCACCGGTGCGTCCTGCCTGGCTTCCTTCAGCCCCAGCTGCCCCGCCCCCGCCCCGACATCGTGGCACAGACAGGTGAACGTCACCTCTCTTGGTGACAGTGAAGTGGCCTGAGAGGTCTCACGAGAGCCAACAGGACCGACGACCAAAGCACCCGAGACTCTCAGCGAGGGATGACCCCTCGGCCAGCTCTACACCACGTGGGAAAAATCAGAAGCAACCAAAACCAGAAGCATCCAAAAAAGAGGCAGGCCCCGGTCTGCTGGGCTCTCGGTGAGGGTCGGCCGGAGCAGGGGGCCGGTGGCCGGCTCCCACACGCCCAGCAGACGGACTCTGCCTCCCACGCACCCCCTCACCCCGTGAGTGGGTGCCTCTGCACCCACCCGGACCCAGGGCTCCGCAACCCCCTGCACACCTGCCTGTGTCCCCCCTGCACTGCGCGCTCCTCACAGGCAGGGCCCCTGCTCGGACCCCGGGGACCCGGTGAAGCCGCTGGACCGAGGCAGGTACCCAGAGGTGGATGCTGAAGGAAACGTGAGAACAGCTTTGCCCGGCCCGAGGACGAGGAGGCCGGAAGGCTCTGCCCACCGCCCCGTCCACCTTGAGAGCGAAGGCCACAGCTCTCGCGTGTACAGGATGTCACGGCGGGACCCCGAGCAGGAGCCCGGGCCCGCTGTGGGCACACGACGTGGGCTCAGGGTGGGAGACAGCAGGGCTCCGGCCGCTGGACAGACGAGCGGCCTTTGGAGATTTTCAGGTGAGGGGCAAACACAGGCAGCGTGTCCCACAGCCCCCAGAAGAGCAGGGCTGCTCGGGAGGAGCTCAGGGCGGGGCCGCCGGGGAGCTGGGCGCGCTGGTCGGGCCACCACGGACTCGGGCCCAGACCCCGCCGTGACCTCAGGTCCCTGACACACTGTGGCCCCGGCTCCTGAAGGTGCAGCAGCAAAGGGAACAAATGCATCAGCCTCCCGAGGAGAAAGTACCACCTACAACCCGGCCCTTCCTGCCCCAGAGGCCCCGGCGGGAGGGACGCGGTCCCGCATCCCCTCCCCTCCCTCCCCTGGGTCAGACACCCGCTCACCGTGCCGACCAGCGGCCAGGTAACCGGCCAGGTAACCGGAGATGCCCGTGGGCTGTCAGGGGAGGAGCCACGCAGGCCAGACCGCGGTCACTGCGGAGGGGGCCCCTGTCCCAGAAACGGCGTCCATCTGTGAAATGCCTGAGGTGCTGGGTGACAGCTACACGGCGGAGGCCACGGGGGCCCCCAGAACTTCAAAGCCTCCTGGGGACCCAACACCCCTCGCCAAAGAGAAAGCACGGCCACCTTGGGCGGTTTCGTCTCCCATGTGTGTGGGACCGAGTGTATTCGCTTCTTCAGACTAAACAGGTTGCAGGTGAGAGGGGGACGGAACCGTCCAGGGGCCTCTCCTGCTCTCACCCCCACCCCACGGGCTCAGAAGGAAACTGATTCGAGGAACACCCTGAGACGCTGGGAGGCCAGCGGGGGAGGCCAGGGGGAGACAGGATGGACTCCTGGGACAGATCAGAGGACCCCAGGGGGCAGGGGGGCTGGCTCAACGGGAGTCAGCAGGGTCGGCGAGAACCGCGAGTGCCCAGCCGTCAGAGGCGGTGGGTTGGCAGGGCCCCCCAGAGGCTGCCTCTCCCGCGCCCGTTCAGAGACGCCCACGGTCGCCCTGCAGCTACTCTGAGCCACGCTGGTGCTTCGGAAACTGCATGCTTCCCGGGCCAGTCACTGTGTGTGACGGAGCCAGCAGCCTGAGCTCATGAGAAAGCAGGGCAGCGGCACATTTCTCGTGGACATTTACAAGCCATCGCCGAGGCGCCAAGGGAGGCGCCGCCCCGATGCTCCAGTTCCATGACCTTAGGACGGGGTGAGAGCGCCGGTGACCTCACTCCGGCCCCCTCTTTGGGGCCAGATGACTCTCTACCATCCTCGGTGATTTCCCGGAACGTGGATTCTATTAATGGCTTCGGAAATTCTAGCAAGAAATTCTTTCACGTACAGGCTTGTTTTCCAACACCTCAACCTTTACAGAAATGCAACAGCGAAGGAAAACCAAGAAACATACAAACAACCCCCCACCCACACACACACACACACACACACACACACACGAAGTCTAATTTTGGTGCAAACTGACCCTCTGGAATGCTCTTTAGAGAAGTTCGTTGATTTCATACGAATGTCAGTGTCTCTGATGATGAATCCAGGAAGACTTCGGAATACGCAGGGACAGACAAGGAAAGAGTAACCAGTAAGCTGCTACACTCAAGTAACACCTAGCGTTCCACGTAGTGAGTGCTACAGTGTTTCAACATGCAGAGGACGTCGGGTTTGTGATTCTGAAGCGGTGCCCCTGCTGTCCAAAGAACACGCTCACTTCACAGGTGTCCAGGATTCTGTGGAACAGGCGTTCCAGGCTGCTTTTAACCAATTCTCTGCCACTGAAGTTTAGATTAACTCACGGTTTTCCTCAGAATAAACTCCTAGAAGCCCAGTTTCCTGTGTGTTCAGGGACGCTCATCTTACGGCGCTGAACTCGTACAATAAAACTACGCTGCGGGAGGTTCGCGTGGACGTACATCCCGACCCGCAGCACACAACGGAGGATGTCTCTCTGAACCTGACCGACGCTGGTAGTCTTCTGCCTGTTTTACTTTTTTGCTGATTGGTAGGTAAGAGGAGACAGCATCAAGTTATTTCCATTTGCTGTTATAATGAACAGGAGACTGAATTTTTGGCCAAACACTCAGTGTGCACGTATCATATATGATACATATATATATGAAATGTGTGTGTGTGTGTAAAATGGTTTTTTAAGGCCCTTTTCATATCCTTTGCTCATTTTCCCTAGAGTGGAATCTCCCTTTTGGTCACTTTCTCCTTTTTTGCCCAAATCATGCCTTCTGGAACTAACCTAAGATTAATTCCTCCTCCGTGTGACACCCCCTCAAATACTTAAAGACAGAAATCATGTCTTGCTCTCTCCAAGATAAACACGCGGCTCCCTCCACCATTTCCCATACGGCTAAGTTTCCAGGGCGGCCACGGAAGACTCCGTGCACCACGGGCCCCGAGGCCCCCAGGCCTGCACTCCCCACACCCTGCATGCACCTCGGGCCCGGCCTCCTCCACCCCCTCACCCACGGGTCGCCACGAGTGGGTTTTATGAGGATTGTGGCGTTTCTCGTGGGCTGTGGTAGGCCCGGGGCCCCAGTGGCGTGGTGAGAAATGGAGCCTGGGGGGCCGGAAATGGGAAGAGGGGCTGCCTGGGGCCATGGCAGTGACCAATGCGTTAAGGAGATGGGCAACCTGTGACAGGGCCCCGAGGGGCAGAGCCAATGTGGCGCGGTCACCAGCCACCTCAGACCTGGGGGCAGGCAGGGACCCTTCCCCGTGTCCCCGGTGCTGACGGCCTCACACCCTCCGGCAGCCCCCGTGGGAGTGCTGGCGCCCCCCAGCCCCCGCCAGCACCTGCTGGGGAACAGGAGGACCGGCCTTTGCCCGGAGCCTGGGAGCCCCACAGCCGTCAGGTCAGCCCGCCGCGTCTGCTCAGGAACGGACCACTGCCAGGCGACTGCACGCTGTCCACGTCCCTGGCCACGTCCCCGGCTCCCGCTCGCCTCTCGCCAAACCACCTCCCGATGCCAGTCTGGGGCCTCACGTACTTGAGGACCTCAGAGGCTCCGTGAACGTGGGCACGAGCGACCCTGTCTCTGCTGTGGGTCCAGCCGGCCACACAGCAGCTCCCGACAGCTCCCCACGCTCCCCGCGTCCACAGAGCTGAGGTACAGACTCTGATCGCTGGGAGGCCCCGCCGTCCCGCAAGGCCCTGTCCTGCCGTCTAGCTGGGGCCGTCAGGCGAGCAGCCCCTCGAAAACTGTGTGCGCTATGATGTGAATAGAAAAAACATGGATGAATAAAAACATATAAGTTAAAAAACAGACTTCTGCACACATCGGTCAGACAGGTACATGTGTCTGTGGACAGCAAATGTTAAGGGCAACCACTCCTAGCGAAGCTGCCAGAAGCCCTTACGGACCTTGTCTTGTCTGATTGCCACAGAGATGCCTGCGGCTCCCTCGCTCAAGAAAAAGCACAGCCTGAAGGGACACAGTAAGCTTCCGAGTCTGGCTCAGACAGCATGTGGATTTTGAAGCAACCGGACGTGGAAAGCAGTATGAGCCCCACGTGACCTCTGACGCAAGAGGCAGAGAACAGACCAGCAGCCAACGGAGCGGCGGGACCCTGAAGAATCCAAAGGACGAGGAGAAGCTCAGCGGGAGAAACCGGGGAGGGCCTCTGACGGACCCCGCAGACGGCGGGGCAGCCCAGGGAGGCGGTGGCGGACCCGGAGGGCCCCTTTCGGGTAAACACAGACTCCTGTTCGAAAGATTTTCGGGGATGGAACTCGCACACGTGAAGTCTGCCGGCTTCACACGTACCATCCCGTGGCGCTCAGCTGTGCCGCGACCAGCACTACCAAATTTTAGGGCGTTTCTGTCACCTCGAAAGGAAACGCCGTCCCCAGGGCAGGCACCGCCCGTCCTTCTCCGCTGTCCTGGTGGGTTTCCCTGGTCTGGGTGTTTCGCACGAATGAAAACACACGATGGGACCTCCCGAGTCCGGCTTCTTTCTCTCAGCGCGATGCTGCTGCCGTCCGGCTCGCCTGCATCACGGTGCGGCTCAGTGCTGCCCTGATTTTTACCCCCGAGTAACGTCTCGCTGCACAGAGGCACCACACGGCTTCGTGTTTATCCATTCGTCCACCGGCGGACAGTTTGGGGCGTGCCCCTGTGTGGCCGACGGGAGTGACGCACCCACTGCTCTGGGGACGTGTCTTCTCCACTGTCCTTTGTGCGTCCCCAGGGCTGAACTGAAGCTGCTGGGGCAGCCACATGGCTGCTCCGCGCTGAGCATTCCGAGCAACTCGGACGGTTCCCCAAAGCTGCGGGGGGCTTCTACATCCCCACCGGTCGTCTGGGAGGGCGCCGGGCGCCCCCATCCTCACCCACACGTGCCACCGCCTCTCGGCGGGTCTGGGAGGCGCCCTGTGGGGGTTCCGAGGAGCATTTCTCTAAGGACTCGGACACAACGGTCATTTTAAACGTCACTCAGGCGTCGCCGAGTGCTGTTCCGAGTGCTGTGGGGTGCACGCGGCCTCTGCTTACCTGCGGGGGGCCAGGCCTTGATGTACCCCGTGCAGTGGACCACGGCGTACTGGGCTTCCCCCTCCTTCACGGGGCCGAGGCCGTTCCTGCGGAGGAGTGTTTGTGAGGAGGCGGTCGGGCCCCGGGGCGAGGCGGGGACCCCGGGGGGCTCCTTCCCTATCTGAGCTACGAGGGTCCCTTGTGCGCCTGGTGACTTTGAATCTTGACCCCTTGCCTCCCACCACGTCCCCTCCTTCCCCGTGGTCTGAAAGTCCGAAAGGAACCCCGCCCAGCTCCCTCATCTGAGCCCCAGACCCCCGATGCCTGGGTCTCCCGGCCCCCGGGGCACTCAGCCCCTCGACCACTCCTCGGCCTGGGGCACGCGGCTACCTGGCGGCAGAGCCCAAAACGCACGCCCGAAAGCCCCACCGACCTGAACCGCTTCCTCATGGTGGTTATTCTGCTGAGAGGGAGGTGGTCCAACGGAGCGTTCCCGCACCTGGGAGGGGACAGACAGGTCGGGGAGAGTGAAGACCGGAGGCGGGGCCTGTCCCACGCTGGCCTGCGCCCGGGTGGCCCTAACGCTCACTTCCTTCCCACGTGTGCGAGAACAGACTCGCACGTCTGGGACCCTGGACGGTCACCTCCGGTGGGGAGAGTGGGACCCCGTGTGCCGGGCTCACTGAGCCAGTCCCAGGGCCCTGCTCGGGAGCTGAGACCCCCGGAAGGACTCGAGGGGGTCCTGACCAGGCTCGGTGCTGCCGACCACCACGGCGTAACCGAGTGGAAATGCTGGGCCAGACGCCTCCATGAGGTTCCCTCCACGAGCAAACTGCTGAGGTGGCGCAACAGAGGCACCACCGACCTGGCACTTGGCTGAACGCTCAGCAAGGCGGTGGGCGCCTACTGACCGCAGCGCTGAGGGAGGGCCCTGCTGGGCCGGGCGGTGGCTGCTGCCATTCTGTCCCTGGTGGACACTGAGGATCCCGCTGCCCGGCTTGCACCGGTCAGCCAAGCAGAGGGCAGGCGGCCTGTACACACCCAACCCCACGTCCGAGGGGCACGGTCGTGTCTTGTCACCCCAGCACCATCCAAGCGGGGGAGGTGGGCACCTGTGTCTCCCAGATGCTCAGCCCGGACAGGAGCCGGCTCAGAGGCAAGGACAGCCCGGCTCGGATCCCTTCCTGGCTCCGAGCACCAGGGGCAGGTCGGAGAGGCAGGCTGCACACGAGCAACCCGGCCCCTTCCCACTGGCCGCTACATTTGCTTTCTTTTCCTCCGCAGCACGTAACCGCCGGTGACACTCCATGCATGTGCCTGCTACTGTGCCCACTGTGGACCTCAGAAAGGTAGAAATCAAGACCCTCACCCTTAAGGGAACTCTACCTTCCTTACGGAGTCAAGATGTTTACAGTTAAAATATAATCAGCAACATTACAATTAAGGACAAATTAAAAATGTGTGAGTTGGGCCCTTGCTGGTGTAGCTCAGTGGATTGAGCATGGGCCTGCGAAGCAAAGGGTCCCTGGTTCAATTCCCAGTCAGGGCACATGCCTGGGTCGCAGGCCAGGTCCCCAGTAGGGGGTGCACAAGAGGCAACCACACATTGATGTTTCTCTCCCACTCTTTCTCCTTCCCTTCCCCTCTCTCTAAAAATAAATAAATAAAACATTTTTAAAAAAGAAGTCTTTTTAAAAAAATGTGTGAGTTGGCACAAGAAAGCATAATAGCAAGTGTGAAATCGGTAGGTCTTAGAAAATATGTTAAGAAACTGAGCCCAGTGAGGCCGGGGTCAGGAAGAGCCTGGAAGGAGCAGCAGACAGTCCGTGGAGACACGCGGACAAGGGCAGCCGGGCGAGAAGGGCAGGAAACGAGACACCTGGGAGCGGGAGAGAGAGGGAGGCCGTCCTTCCAAGAGGGACCGGGAGTCTGCGGGCCCACGATGAGGGGGCTGGGGTGAACCCGAGGGGGCACGAGTGACCCTGGCTGAGCCCGCCGAGGCCCCTCCTGGCGGAGCGGCAGGGCCCGGACGGACGCACCTCATCCTGCAGATGAAGGACCGCCGCGAGCCCATGCACATCCTCATGGACGACTGCTGCCCTTCCTTCTTGACCGTCCCCGTCTTCAGGTCCAGGATCCGGCCTGGGGGAGAGAGCGGGACACTCGCATCAGCCTCCCCCTTCGCCTTCGCCGGGGGTGGGGGTGGGGGTGCAGGGGGAGCTCTCCGCCCTGCTGATGAGGGTGGGGAGGGCCACGCGCGCGGTCTGCTCCGCGGAATTCCCAACATTCTTTGGCAGGAAACACACCAGGCGATGAAATCCACTCGATTCTCAGCGTGTTTTCTTCCGAGGGCAGCCGTCTGGCCCCCAGTCCCTCCGCCTGGGCCTTCTCCCCACCTCCTCACAGTCGCCCACAACACCCTCCCTGCTCAATCCGAACAGGCGTCCCCTCCGTCTCGTCTGACGGGGGCCCCCCGGGCTGGCCCCCCTGTCCTGGGCCCCCTGAGTTCACACACTACCTGGACCCACAGCACTTCTGGGAGGACACCCCTTCCCTCACACCCCACGCTCGGGGGCCGCCTCTAAAGCTCCCGGTGAGCCCGCTCCCAACACAGCAACCCAGCACTCAGTGTCTCCACGCCGCGACACGGACAGAGTCATCGCACAGCTCAGGGGTTCCAACCATGCTTTTTCTGGGACGGTCGAGGAGCATAAAACACAACAGGAGCCGGCAGACGCGGGCGGGCCACCCGAGCCTGCCTCTCACGGCCCGTTCTTTACGCCCTCGTTCGAGCTCGCTCTGGCCGCTCAGCTCGGGGCAGTGGCTGAGCTCTGTCAGCGTGGGAGGGACAGTATGGGCCCCCCCCCCCCCCGCAGCCGAAAACATTTGCTCTCTGGCCCTCTGCAGAAAGCGTTTGCTGACCCCTACTTGGGAAGAACGATGACAGCGATTCCCATCCATGGGGACAGAGCACTTTCCCTGACGCAGAGGGTCCCCGTCCCCCCGCCGCCACCCTGTGCCTGTCCTCAGGAAGCTGGTTTTATTATTTCTATCGGTAGTGACTTTTTTTTAAAAGAAGAAGTTTGTCTTGGATACGATCACAAAAGAAGGCTCTGTCCGAGCTCTCGGAACAGCTCCCCAGGCTACTGCAGAAACACAAATAAAAACCAGAGTCATCTCATGAAAGGAATCCTTAAGGAAAACAGGAAACATCTTATCTTGGATTAAAAAGGAGGACAACCAAGATAGCAAAGGAGGAAAACAAGAGAAAATGATTAGCAACAGAAGCAAAGCGACGGCTCCCAGGATGGACAGTATCTGATGTTCTTCCAAAAATGTGTGCCCCCCCCCCCAAACACGGGCCCAGAGGCGGGAAGCAGCTCTTGGTGACAAAGTGTTCTCATTCCCAAGAGGCCGGCCCCAGCCACTGGGGCAGCTGCACACGCCAGGACAGACACCCCCTGACACACACACGCACAGGCATCCTCCGCCCACCGCAGGGAGGTCCAGGGCAGGAGCTGCGCCCACTGAGCCTGGGAGAGAACAGGCTTGTGCTGCTGAGGCTGGCGGCAGGGTCTCCACGTTCATGACCTCTGGCAGGTGTTTGGACACGGCTCAGGGACAAAGGCACCAATTCTCAAGTCGTAGCTTAGCTGCTGTCTTCTCAGAGCAGAAGAGGGGGCTTCAGATGGGCAGTGGAGTTCGATAGGGGTGTCCATTATTCCGTCCTCCCAGGGCCTCCCCGCCAGGACACGTGCGTGCTGTTCCTTCAGGATGGAAGTCAAACATGGGGCTGCCAACTCCTTACAAGACCCCGCCTCCCAGGCATGGTGACTGGTGGAGGGCTGGACAGCTGACACCAGCTGGGCCAATCACATGACTTCATTCTTCTTCTGTCCACAATGACTGGTCCCAAGATTGGGATGTCATCCAGATGGGCCAATCAGAGCCCTCCACAGGCCAAAAAAAAAAAAAGTCCCATGGACCTCTCTCCTTCCTTTAGGAGCCTCAGGGTGGTCTCCCAGCAGCAGGGACTCCAGCTTCCTGGAGAAGTGGGCCCAAGACTGTGACACCGACTCTGAGAAAACAGGGACAACAAGCAGGCGAAAGGGCCCCTCACGGCGCTGAGACCACCTGTGCCGATGAGCCCCCTTCTAACGCCTAAACTAGGTCACCGTCAGTCAGTCCCCAGGCCTTCCCGTCGAGCAGTCCAGACTAAGGCAGCAGCCTCTGGCCTTTGACAGAGGAGTAAGGATGGACTAAATTTGGAGAGGATTTCTCTGTGTCTGTGCTCGGAACTGCTCTGCCTTTCCCCCCAGCGTCCAGGTGAAATTCTTTCCTTTAAATGGCTTATCTGATGGGGTTGGACCTTCATGAGTTATCTCATTTTTTTAAGATCAACCGACTTGGGACTTCGACCACATCAATGAAACCCCTTCCCCGAAGAACTCGGACCTGCAACTGATGAAATAACCAGGGGGCAGGACCTCTGGGGAGCCTGGCAGCGTACGGGCAGACCACAGGGTCCCCAACGTCACTGCCACTTGAGCGGATGACCTGCCTGACTCCCGAGACCATGAACTCCCTGAGCACAGCGAGCCCTGGCCTGAGCTTCTCTGTGTCCCCAGGCCAAGGTGCCTCCCACATAGTGGGTGCCCCGCAGCTCTGCCCTGGGTCGCAGCTCCCTGCTGCGCACGGGGCACTGTCACGACAGCTTGGAGGCCGAATTAGAACCCTCGCGTGCTCCCATGGGCCCCCATTTCCTAAAGGGCCCCTGACGATTTTGGGCTTCTGTCTGCAAGCACCCCCGCCCGGCCTTGAGCGAGCAGGGCGTCCTCCGTGGGCAGCAGGGACCCGGAGCAGCCCCCGGAGGCCGACCTCCCGGCATCTTCTCAGTGACCCGGAGGCAGCACACTGCTGACCTGGGCCCCACAACAAACACGTCTCTCCCGGTTCTGCTCGGCTGTCTGGCCTGGTGACATCAGAGCACGACGGACTGAGTGTCCTGTTTACCCACTGGGGACACTGGCACTGGCATCCATCCGGAAGGGGTTCTGTGAAGGGGACATGCGGTTTGGCCCAGGCAGCAGCTGAGGGGCCCATCCACACCGGGCTCGGGTTCAGCCCCCGCCCAGGCCACAGGCGGGCCGGGGTCTCCCACCTTTCCTGCTACCTCCCTGCTCCAGCCCGGAGGGCTGGTGACCTCGGACAGTGAGGTGGGGGTGAGCCCCACGGAGCAACAGGCGTGTTTTCTTTCTCTTTTCGAGAAGATCTTGTCAAAACGGTGCGTGGAGGCCCGCACACACCTGGTGGCTGCAGGGGAGCGCGGAGCTGCGGCCTCCGTCGGACAGAAACACCCACTGCAGACAGACAGCAGGCTCACGGTGAGGGGAGCCTGCACACCGTCCCCGGCCGGCCGTTCCAGCCGCCCGACTGAGGCCGCAGCAGAGGTCTGGACCACGTGCAGACGAGGCCCGGAGCAGAGAGGGCCGCAGGGGAGGGCGCCCCAGGCCGAGCCGTTGAGCCTGGCGGGACGCAGTGGTGGGAGGGGCCTGAGAGCAGGCTGGGGTCCGGTCCGGCTGCGCCCCGGGGACCCAGGCCGGTGAGCGGGGCTGGGAGGGGCCCGGGCTCAGGGCAAGGAGCTCGGAAGGCTGGACAGAGCTGCCCCGCGGCCTCTCCCAGATGCAGGAACTGGGGACTCCACGCGCTGAGGACTCGAGGGTCCCACCCGACCCCCCTGTGCTGTCCGCAGTGAGTCCCACCTGCGCCTGGGGAAGGCCCACACTGCCCCACGACGGCCTGGGGACTCATGTGACTTGTGTGTTAAGACTTAGATTGCAGAGGCCGAAGCTCGTGAGGCCAGCGTTCCCAGCAAACGCTGCCTGTCTCTGACGCGAGGGGCACGAGGGCCCCCAGCCTTGGGGACAGAGAACCCCTGGCGTCGGGCGGTGCAGGTCTGCCACCGAAAAACAGACGTTGCCGGGGAGAAATGACTGCCGGCGACAGGGTGGTGCCCACTGAGCGAACGGTGCTCCTGGCCGGACCGTTCTCGGGGGGCCGGGGCGGGCCTGAGGGGACCGCTCCTCTCCTACAAGGGAAAGTGAGGCTCTCCCGACCCACAGAGGTGGTGGTGGGGGTTTGGGTCAGGGCTTGGCCCGATGGCCAAGGAATCGCCGAAGAAACCCGAGGCCCAGGGGGCTCCCGAGGCGGCTGGCAGAGGGGGCTGGGCAGGTGGCCAGCAGGCCCCACAGACACCCAGAAGGAGCCTTCTGGCCAAGCAGTCTGGGTCGCCCGTGGGTCCTGGGTGTCCCTCCCTGCCCTTGGGGGAGGCGCGGAGGAGAAGCTGACCGGGAAGGAGGGGGCGGCCCCACGCTGCCCAGGGTGACGGAGATAATTGTCTGCAATGACAAGGCCAAGGCGGGGACGCGTGCAGAGAAGCTGAGGCCGTGGGTGACAGGTCACACCGCCTCCCCCACCCCGGCGGCTGGGCCCCCGCTGCCCCGACACTTTCTGCGGCACTCGCATTCCGAACGTGGCCCGGGCGCCGCGTGCCGAGCCTGCTGCTCTGCTCTTCATTAAAAAGTCGTCACCCCCACGGCCCCCCCTCTGCGGCCGGCACCTCTTGTGCTATTTCATCTGCAGACAAAAGTACAAATTCTCCGTCCTGTTTAGAACAGGCTGGAGTGTGATTTACAGAAACGCATTCCTCCCTGGGTATCATGCTACAAGAATGCCAGCAATGCAAGCGGGAGGGCTCTGGTTCGAAGGATGACCGACGAGCCCCCCTCCTCCCCTGGCCGCCTCGGGGTGGAGAGGGGCCAGGCGGGTGGGGAGTTCAAGAAGGCGATCTGAGGCCATGCCTCGCCTGGCCTGCAAGCGGGTAATGGAATGATTAAAGAACACAGAAGCGGTGGGGGGGCGGGGGGTCATCTGCACCCACGCAGAAAAGCAGTGGAAGGGGCTTGAACAGCTCAGAATTCGGGGCGGGGGGCTGCTGCAGAGGAAGCCACGCGTCTAGGGCGGGACGGAGGTGAACAGGGGCAGCCCCGTGGGCTGACAGGTACCCAGGAGTGAGTGTCCGCCCGGGAAAGACTCGAGAGGGTCCCTCAGAGAAGCCTCTCGAACTGCAAGCAAGAAGGAGG